AGAGCGATACTCCTGTAGGAAGCTGCTTTCTCGTTGGGTCGTCTTCAGTGATGGCGATGAGTCTGCGGTGTCGATTTATTGGGAGGACATACATATGTCTTGTGCACACTTTGACTTGAGTGAGGGGCGCGCAAGCCTGTCGCATAAGTGTGCTATGTTGCTTCGGGCTAGTCCCTGTGCAAAGTGCTTGAGAGTATCTCACGGGAGTCTAGCTATCGGTTGCATTCGGATCTGAATAGGGCTGTCTGTTAGTTATGAGCCTCTATTCAGACCATGACAATGCGAACTTGCGAAGAGAATTGAGCCATGCTCAAAAGGAAGTAACAACTATCTGCACGCCGGCCACTGTAGTTCCTCGAGAAACACGGTCTAGTCATTAATGTCATTTGACTATTTGTTCTCGTTATCTATCATGCTCAAGTGTCATAATCGTAATGGCACCCATGTGTTTTGCATAAATCATCCGGCGGAATGCTCTAGCTTTCGTCAATCCATAGCCCTCTATGGAATCGCAACCTTTACATCGTCCTCGTACTCTACATCTTTGATGCCATCCTTCGTTATGACCTTGACCAGCACGCCCTTGAAATCGATCGGAAGACGTCGCTTGAGCTCCTCGGTGCACATGCGCATGATCTTCATGCCTTGTTCGTAGTCGATATCGGGATGGTGGTGCTTGTCGAGCAGGGAAAGACAGTAGTATCTGCAAGTGGTGTTAGCACAAGATGCTTAGATTTGGGACCATGCAGAAGAGCAGGGAGTGCTTCAGCAAAGACAGCAAGAGAGGAAACATACTGTGCGTATCCGTGTGCAGCATATGGCAGCGGTGCTTGACTCGCCAAGTAGTCGATCCAGTACAGTGTCGGCTTGTCGGCAATGGTGTCGTATCCGCCCAACAGCAGGTTGACCGTGTAGGGTTTTCTTGACCGTAGCGCTGACGCCAGTTCTCCTCGGACGAAGTTGGCTGTTGCGGCAGGGGAAAGCTCCATGTTGTTGCGCATGGAGTATAATTGTACGTTTGCCTGGATGTACTCGGCGAATTGGACTGCATCGTTGTTAGCTACCGCCAAGTTATCGTGGCTTCTTCTTGCGTCATACCAGTGTCACCAGCCTCTCCAGAGAAAGCCATCAAGGTATGTGTGTTGAGTACTCGCGTCTTGTCGTCGGATGCCTTGAGGATGGTGGCGCCACGCATGGCGGCTTTGGAGGCGGCGATGAGGGTGAAATCCTTGCCGGTGATTCCTAGTAGGACCTCCCTGTACAGTGGTCAGTACTGGAGCAGGAGACGTCAAGGCGACTTACATTGTGATGAACTTGAAGTGGTGACGGTAAGTGTGTTGGAGGGCGACTTTCGTCGGGCTTGGAGAGTCTGGTGGGAGGGCGTATGAGCAGGCAGGTGACACGAGTCTTGTCCTACGAGCGATTTGACGTAGTGGCGAGGACGGTATTGGTGTGGTTATACGGTGATGTTGAAGCCTCACGCGAAGGCAGCTCCCAGCGTCGCGGCCGCCGTACACATGAAGCTTGGGCCAGCTCGGGCTTGGCAGAACTGGACTTGAATGTGAACAGGCACGCCTGGAGTCGTGAACAAGAAGAGCTGTGTCCACTCAGACCTGTGCAATACCTCACAGCTTTGGCTCCATTCGGTTCGTGAACCATGTTCAATCAACTATTCCTCATTGACGACAATGTTTCATACCAGAACAGCCTGAGATGCGCGTCGCCTCTACTGCTAGCCCGCACCAACATGTACAAAGTACTTCACAATGCTGCTGTGCCCTCTACCGACCTGAACAGTCTTTTTTTCTTTCTGTTGCGACGACCTGCCGTAATTCTTGGAAGCCCAAGGCAGATGTGCAATCTTCGCATGATACAAGAGATGGATGAATAGCCGTGATGATGCTCACAGGATACTCACGGTACCTTGCGAACCTGCAACATTGGCTACAGCTGCATGCAACAAACCAAACAGGTCAACGTTGTGTTGGGCTGGTTCTGCATCTACTCGAATCCTTCACCGGTGCCCATGAGAGCTACTGTTTCGCCTGGCTTGGCTGCGAAGACGTTGTATCGCACTTGTCTGACATTCCTTGGTATTTCCTCAAGGAGCGCTCTGAAGTTTTGAATCCCGCAGGAGAAGCTACCTTGGACGACGATCTCCCGTTCACAACGGACAGGGCCAAGGACTGCATGTATCACCGACATGTATCAATTGTATCCCACAGACCCCCAAACCAGCTTGCGCGTCGTCCCACTCGATGCTTTTGCGATAATGTTAATGCACACTTTTACAAAGAGGCCGTGGGTGGCTACCAATGAGGCGACGGCGTCATAGCGGGGCTGAATTCTGCTGAGCAACCCCTCCAAAACCTTGCTGGACTCTTAAGCTCTGGAACACCCCACCCAAACAAAACAACACCGACACTTGATCTTACACATACAACTAGTAAGTCGAATTTTCTGCTCGGCATCCTATCCGCGGCCGGACATTACTGCCCGCGCATCCGGTCGCCTTCTATATCTCCTGCCTTGCACTTTGCGGCTCCCCAACTCTCCAATTGACTCTCTCAACAGCAATCCTTCATCATGACCATCACCAAGATCCACGCCCGCTCCGTCTACGACTCTCGGGTACGTTTGCAGACATGTGTGCTTGTCAAGCTTCGTTGCTAACATCTCCAGGGTAACCCGACTGTCGAGGTTGACATTGTCACCGAGACCGGCCTTCACCGCGCCATCGTCCCCTCCGGTGCCTCCACGGGCTCCCACGAGGCTTGCGAACTCCGCGATGGAGACAAGTCCAAGTGGGGTGGTAAGGGTGTCACCAAGGCTGTCGCCAACGTCAACGACACCATTGCGCCTGCTCTCATCAAGGAGAAGCTCGACGTCAAGGACCAGTCCGCCGTAGACGCGTTCCTCAACAAGCTCGATGGCACCACAAACAAGACCAACCTGGGCGCCAACGCCATTCTCGGTGTCTCAATGGCCATTGCAAAGGCTGCCGCTGCCGAGAAGGGTGTACCTCTCTACGCACACATCTCCGACTTGGCTGGCACCAAGAAGCCCTACGTTCTCCCTGTACCTTGTAGGTGAACTGAAGTTGACAAGTAGAGGAATCTTACTGACTATGCAGTCCAAAACGTCCTCAACGGTGGCTCGCACGCTGGTGGCCGTCTTGCTTTCCAAGAGTTCATGATCGTTCCTTGGTAGGTCATCTTTCCGAATACAGTTCTAGCCCATACTGACGACCTCCAGTGAGGCCCCTACCTTCTCCGAGGCCATGCGCCAGGGAGCCGAAGTCTACCAGAAGCTCAAGGCCCTTGCCAAGAAGACCTACGGACAGTCCGCTGGAAACGTCGGTGACGAGGGTGGTGTTGCCCCTGACATCCAGACCGCCGAGGAGGCCCTTGACCTCATCACCAAGGCTATTGAGGAGGCTGGCTACACTGGCAAGATCAAGATCGCCATGGATGTCGCATCAAGCGAATTCTACAAGGCCGACGAGAAGAAGTACGATCTTGACTTCAAGAACCCCGACAGCGACAAGAGCAAGTGGCTCACATACGAACAACTCGCCGAGATGTACAAGTCCCTGGCTGAGAAGTACCCCATTGTCAGCATCGAGGACCCCTTCGCTGAGGATGACTGGGAGGCTTGGTCTTACTTCTTCAAGACCTACGACGGCCAGATCGTTGGTGATGACTTGACCGTCACCAACCCCGAGTTCATCAAGAAGGCCATTGAGCTCAAGTCTTGCAATGCTCTCCTCCTCAAGGTCAACCAGATCGGTACCATCACTGAGGCCATCCAGGCTGCCAAGGACGCTTTCGGCGCTGGCTGGGGTGTCATGGTTTCTCACCGCTCTGGCGAGACTGAGGATGTCACCATTGCCGACATTGTCGTCGGACTGCGATCCGGCCAGATCAAGACTGGTGCACCTGCCCGATCTGAGCGTCTCGCTAAGCTCAACCAGATCCTCCGTATCGAGGAGGAGCTTGGTGACAACGCCGTCTACGCCGGTAACAACTTCAGGACCGCCGTTAACTTGTAAGCGCTTCTTTTGCAGGGTCCGGTAGTGTTAGCGTTGTGAGGAAATGCGACGAATAATGAGTTAAGAGCAAAGGAAATATGTATACAAAATGCAACGATATATCCTACACCATGATTTTTTATTTCGCATCGAACACTGAAGCGACTACTGCTCTGCTTGCCATCAAGTTTAACTTGACCATAGCCTCAAGAAACACAATGCTGCAACAATCCCTGGAGCATTTTCGCACGAGGTAACTGCGCTTCCAGAGTTGGACTGCCGAGAAACTCAGATGTCAGCAGATCAGGTCAACTGCTATAGTCGTCGCAATTCTCCAACACAGTAGCCTCTTTGCTTCAAGCTGCCAGAGCTGGTATAAACGCAGCCTCACATGTCGAACCAATCCAAGCTACTCTCAGCAAGCCCGGCGGTATACAAATGCCAACTTCTGCACACTTCCCAAACATCAACACGAAAAAGCCTTCTGGGGCAGTAAACATAGATCTTCTGTGCCAGTCTGTAGTTCTGAACTCCTGGTAGTAGGTTCCATAGCATATGAGGATATGTCGTGGCTTGCAGCATCGGTAGAGGTCTGGAGGCATATTACTACAAGTGCAGTTGACAACTTGGAGGACGAATGTGCTCATCTGGACGATCATCTCCAAATAGAATGGTATGGTAGAAACATGTCCTTGCATTACTGCTGCCTGGTCCATTCTTCGATGACAATCTAGATCAAGTTCACCGCTCACAGAGCCATTGCAAAGAGTCTCAGACCTTACCCAGTTTGTTCATGTTACTTCTATCAATCATGCCCTCAGCTACTCCCATCTTTCTAGCCCCATCATCCCCGGTCGCCCAACAACTTCACATTCCGCCCTGTCCTCACACATAGGCCCAATACCGTTCCGGCTACTATACGCACAGCAGATCCAATCCCCACCACAGTAGTTTGGGACCCAGTAACCCGTTACATTGCAGTATCGGAAGCGGTCGCCGAAATGGTGGCATTGGGCTACACCAGGGAGGCACATGGGGTCAATTTGCCAGAGCGCTGTTGTGGTAGTAGCGGGGAAGGCGGCAACTGTGGTGCTGGCTGTTCTAGGGGAGGGAAACGTAGCCCAAGAGGATGTTTCGATGGTGGTGTTGGCGGCCGTCGTTGTTGTTGTTGCTGCTGTTGTTGGTGATAGTGCTGAAATAGTACAAGCGGACTTTGCGATGGCAGAGGCGATGGCGGTGGAGGGTATTAGGAGTATGATGATGGAGGTGGTGAAGGAGAGTTGCGGGACTGCGAATGATGGATGCATAATATTTTTTGGGGGGGAAGTAGGAGAGCAAGGAGAGTTTGAGTCCCGTATCAAGTAGGGCGATGGAAGCGTTGAATGTATTTGAGATGTACTTACCTGTTCACTTGTTTGACTTGGTAGAATGTGATAGCTGTTGTGTTTGTCATACGTACTCATACCGATGCTGATGTTGTGATCAAATGATATCACATCTTGAGCGAGGTGTCGACGTATACGTACGCTGGAACGACTTACTTGTGTTACCTTGTTCCACGTATCAAAAGGATACAGCCCTATCAAGCCTTGCAATGCTCATATATTGGGTGATTAGAAGCTACCGTCAAAGACATTTTGTAGCATTGCATTTCCAGTTTGTTGAGTGAGTGTAAAGACTTCGGTATTGTCACACAGGATCGTCTGTGCACCCTACGAATGATTTGAGATGATCTGTCCTACAGACAATGTGATTGAATGTGACTGTCTACTTCTTGATAAGACCGACCTTATCCCGACATCCACCGATTCTGTACAATATGCTTTAGTATATACTTCGACACCCAGAATAGGCAGAGGCAAGCTCGTCGAGTCTATCGATGTTTAACTTTGCGACACGCCGACTTTTCGATGCTCTGTGCATGGTGTAAGGGACACTCTCACGAAGCAGCCGAACAGGTATTCGGTCAAATCTCGGTGCTTATAGTAGTAGTGATTCGTGCCGCAAAAGACGTCGTGCTCTAACCTTGAGACGGTCCGGAACTCGGCACGTTCGCGGCCCGGACTGTGCAAGCCATCAACAGACCAAGTAGACACGATGGTATATAGTGGGATAGAGATGTTCTGGACTTTCCGTGGCTTCACGACAGCCACATTCGAAGTTCATGACGCAGTGCAATAGTCAGAGGCGCAAGGGGTGTGCAGGAGCTACCCAAAGTCTGTCAAAGTCTAGGCGTGTCATCATTGCTGTCTAGCTTTGGTCGGCCGAACAAAGTGCACTGTCGCCCTGAGCTTACCGTGCCTGCTTTGTGTCTTGGGCGGAGTGGCAGGGGACATCTTGCTCTGGAGCGGACCGCAGCCGTTTAAGATGTTGCGGCTCATGCGGTGTCGTTGACTGCAAAAACGATTCATTATTTGTGGGCATGAAGATTGCAATACCGTCTGGACTGCGCGTTCTCAATTAACTGATGTCAGCTGTCGATACAAGCGTATCATGTAGAGCACGGTCGTGAAGCCCTTGGTATCGATGAGACAGACCAGACGCCCGATATGGGTAGGTCCAGACCGTTGCCAAGAGTTTGGAGCAATGGGCCTGATGAATTAACATCGAACATGGGTGTCCATGTCGCCATGACAGCAGAGCGGATCTCCATTGTACTATGTATGTATTGTGAAGCCTCTTGCGTAGTTGCTCAACATGGAGAGCCTGGTGGTGATACCAGGCTTGCAGTAAAGGCGTGTAGCGGAAAAACCTTGGGGCGATGGTCTAGACATCTAGACGGCTCCGCGGGTAGAGCTTCTAGCGCGGCATGTCAGATGTGTACCATGGTTCATGTGCTTTTGGACTTGCAAGATATGACAAACCAAGATATCATAGTGTCGCTCATTCGGTGTCAACGCGCGTTGGCAGAGGCGTGATTGGCAAGCGCGTTGCTTTGACCCAATGAGTGGGTCGTGGATGTATGCAAGATCTTGAGGGATGACTGTAAAAATTCGACGATGTTCGCCTCACGATCTAGATGCTACGGCTGCCCGGCCGTGAGCTCGAAGAGTACCTCTCCACTCTCAGAGCAGTTGCGGTGAGAACCAAGACGCCGACATGTGCTGGAAAGGTCCTAGCAACGTGATGGAGCGGGTACTGGCAGCTTTCATGTTTTGTGGCTGCTCCTTCTGCAGTGGTCCGGTGCAGCTAGCGCCGGAAAATTGGGCAGCCGCACGCCAGGCGTCGAACATGTCGACAGCTCTCCTCAGATGTCAGCTTGGTAGCGGCAAGTATTCAGAGGCACGCACAGGTGATGTCGGTCAAGACAAAAGGGAAAACAAAAGGAAGAAGAGATGCATCAAGCTGACATGGCCAGCGCCCCTGCAGCGAGACAGCTAGAGAGGTCGATCGGCACACGGTGCACATCATTACTCGCATGGGAGCACGCCGTTCACGATGCCTTGTCGATCATGTTCTGATTAGTTGGCCAATGCTTGGTGCGACAGGTTCCCAAACAGGAGCACACCCACGGGGCCGGAAAAGTCGAAGACGTTGTTGCTGTAAGAAGACACCATGTAACGTTACTCTCGGCTCAGGCGTCTCGAGGGCCTTTGGACGTTGGCGAAAGTTAAGCCAACAGACTACGTGTGTGAATTTGAATATGGGACAGCGGAGGGACGGCGGGTGATTCGTCAGACCAGGCTGGATTATGGCTAGCGCGGGGAATAAGAGTAGCAAAAGACCGAGCATGCAGCCTGAGGCCTGGACTTGTAAAGATGACACGTTAATGTTTGCTCGAGGGCCGAATGCGCAGGTGGGCTGCAGAGGGACGGCGTCGCAGAGTGAAGCGGAAGCTGCGTCAACGGTGTCCAAAAAGAGGGCACTCTCAGGACAGGCGACTGGTCGTGAGGGTGTCGAAGCTTGCAGCGCGAGGGCAGCGATGGAAGACGGAAGCACGAGCAGACAGCAGAACAAAGAGCGCTAGGTTCTGTTTCGGCCGATCGTCGATCTGGTGTCGTGTAAGACGAGGCGCTAAGCCCGGTGTATCGTTGACCCTCTACCAGCACTGTGCGACGGCAGTGCGGCTTCATGGGGAAGCTACATGGACGCAGCAAACGGGCGCGGTAAGATGCGTAGGCGGAGCTGGAGCCGCTGACGTCAAGCAGGAGGAAGGGCCGCGAGCTGCGAGTGCGGCTGTGTCGAGGCGCGGATGCTGTGTACATGTTAGGCAGTTAGCAGTGATTAGCAGTGTTAGCAGTGGTTAGCAGTTGTTGAGCAGTCGGCGGTAGCTTTTGGCCGCCACAATAAAGCATATGCTCTGGATGGGCAAAAAAGCAAGACGAGGGCGAAAAGCGTAATTGGCATGTTCGCATTATCCGGATTGGACCGCTGGGCGGGCGGACAGTAATCGTCATGGCGTAGGGCCAGGCGTCAAGGTCGGCGGTGACTGCAGACTGTGTGCGGGCGAGGTTTGCATAGGGGCCGAAGCGGAAGGGGCTACTGGGGTAGCGCTGGAAATCGTGCAGGAGCGACCGGGAGCCGAGTGCGTCTAGACTGTTCCAGCAGGCGCGACCCATTGTGTGTGCTGACCGAAGCCACCCAGGGTCCCTCGACGCTCAGCATCAATGTGCCGCCATTCATCACGACGACCGTGGGAGGGGAGCGGTATGGCAGGCGGACGGGCAGCACGACGAGCCTCAACTCGAAACGTAGACACGAGCTGGGGCCCACGGTGGTTTTGACCGCGTGCAGGCAAACAGCAGCGCAGCCGACTGTCACTACCACCCAACGGGGGCGGGCCTGGAGGGTGCAAGGACGCGCAAAGCCATGGCTCCGGGTCAGGTTCTAGATCGTCCACCAGCCCTCTTATGTGCGACTCTAGCAAAAGACCAACCATATCGCTGACTGCCCGCCGTGCCTGCCATTTCTCGCCTTCCTTCTCTCTGTCCCGCACATCACGCATTCCTCGCCCTCCCACACACCGTTACTAATCCGCTTCCGCATGCATTTCCGACTTCCTTCGTAGCCCTCTGCATATCGTTGTCCAACTTCGCACTTCGTCTGACCGACACCCCTGTGCCCATCCTGGACGCCCGTGCTGATTGCCCGCATGGGATTCTGAAAGATGGAGGGACTTACTACCATCCCACCTGATATAATCGAGCGCCAGTCGCTCTGCTTCTCCCGCCCAGAGCCAGGCATGGTCGTGCAACAAGGAGAGAACGGCTTCAGAGAAGAACTGTCACAGCTATATGTCCCCGCAGAGAGCAACGCCGCCGAGCAACTCGTCAAACTAAAGGACTCTCTCCGCAAAGCCGACACCGACAGCTTCTGGATCCAGCTCACCCAAGGCCTCGCCAAAATTGCCGATGCTCAGTACGCTTTTGTGTCCAAGAGAATCCTGGTTGATGATAAGAATGTTGCTGTCGAATTGCCCCCCATTGGAGAGCCTGGAGCATGCCTCATGGGCGAGGCCTTTTACATCAACGACGACCATGGCAACGGACCCGGCCATCTGAGAAACTTCAAATACCATGCCTACCAATGTCCGTGTGCCTACATGAAGCACGACAAGGTCTTCATCATTCCCGAAAGATTAAACGATTTCATCCTCGACAACCCAAATGACCTGATCATTCCAGGAGAGGCTTACCTTGGAATCCCTTTGTTTGCCGAGGGAAAGTGCTTCGCTCATTTCGGTGTCATGTGGGGAAAAGAGGGCGCAGCTCGTCGTGTGTTGAGCTGGGGGTTCCTCGAAATGCTGTTCCATAGCCTGGAAGACATGATTCTAGAACGCGTATTGGAAGGCAACGAGTTTGCAAAGTCAGCAGAATCAATTCAAGCCGAGATACCCAGGATCGTGCCGCACAGAGCCGTCTCGGCGGCTCAATCGTTGAAGCCCTACGCCCGGAGCTTATCCCATGAATTAAGGACGCCAATGCAGGGCGTTGTTGGTATGCTGGATGTTATGATGGCAAACGTAAAAGAAGCATCAGAATCATTGCAGCTCGAATCACGGACCCGTGAGATACTCGACACACTCAGGGAGAACATTGAAGCTGTCCAAGGTGTGTAACAACTCGTTGAAGAACCTGTAGTGATGGCTCCATACTGATGCTACTCTAGACAGCTCAAGACGTGCAGTCGAGGCAGCCGATAATGTCGTCCATGCCTACGACATGAACATGGGTGTTCCAGAGACCCCACTTTCGCCACTCGACAAGACTCCGGACCAGTGGAACACTTTCTGGCGTGAGATGCGACCCGATTTGATGATCACTGGTAACGACATGCGTGCTCCATTACGCGGCATCAAGAGGAGGAGACACGAGGTTTCTTGGGCAGACCATGCCAACAAGACACGCGTTGCCAAAAATGCTCGCCAACGAGTTCGAGACACCTTTTCAGAGGAGCCCCCCAAGCGCGGCACTAAGTCGTGCCCCCCAGACGCAAGCGCTCTGGAACTAGACCGACTGGACCA